TCTGCCTAGTGGTGAGAGTGAACTCTAGTCTGCTGGGCTAGAGTTCACTCTTGCAAGATTTGAGCCTTGCTGTGGTAACCGCGGCAACGCTCCGACCTCGCAAGAGGAACCCAGTGGAGCTACTGGCTAGAGCTCCCTGGGTCCTCTCCTGACTCCCTCCCTCTCTCCCTCCCAAGCCGTCGGCCGCATATCAGTGCCTGTGAGATCTTTGATCTCCCCACCAGCCCATGAGGGTAAACAGCAGGGCCAGCGCTCGGATAGTGCGGGCTCTGCATGGGCCAGCAGGGGAGGTCACCTCGATCCACCAGGCCTATGCCCAAAGGCCAGTCTGGGCTTGCACCCGAGGCATGCCGATGGCAATTTCGGGAACTGAGAAAGCCTGAAAAAGACTCCCATGCAGAGTGTGCATTTAAACTCCAAAGAGCTGCTATGGGGTGGGTAGAGGCCACCCAAGCCACGACTGTGGAGGAACTTCTCCAGCTTACACTCCTGGAGCAATTCTTCAATGGGTTGGCACCAGAAGTTCAGGAGTGGGTGATGGACCATAACCGCCAAGAACGGCGTAAAAAAATCAATGCACTATTCCATCAACAATCTAATGATGTTGATAGTACGCTCACAAAATTTTTTTTCCAATTGGAAAATTTACTTGAGAAGGAAACCAGAAAATGGTGGGAGATTACGTCATTAGAACAATATCTTGCCTCTGATTTAATTCCCAGAGGTTTACGAATTATAAAAATGCCCACCTATGGAGTAGAAGATAAGGTTCTAATGGAAGAATGGTCACAAGCTAGTGATGACTGTTCTAAAAAATACATGCAAAGCCTGATAGATTTCCAAAAAAGATCGTTAAAAAATATAGAGGATGAGATAAATACATTAGAAGGTGAAATTACTAAACATAAAGATACTAAAACAATTGAAATTAAATATAAAAATCTTAAAGACAAAATCACTTTTGTAGATGATAAAGTCTCTACCACAAAGTCTTCAAAATTCAGAAGAGATCAGGATGATTATAAATTAGGAAAAATTAGAAATTGGTCCAGAAACACTACAAGACATGCAGACTGGAATAAGAAACAGGGGGTTCTCTAGAAAAACTGTAGAATATTCCCATCATAGGGATTTCATACAGGAACCAAAGAGACATCCGGTTAGACAGTTTCACCCTAGAGATCAATATTCCTCTCATTCATCCCCTAGAACAGATAGGGAACCTTTTTCCTCTTCCTCGGCATTTTTAGACAAGGGGCTAGACCAAAGGAAAAGACATCCAAACCAATATCCCAACACCCGCAACAGGTTCCAAGTTTTGGAATCTCCCAGAAAAAAGAGATTATACACAGAACTAGAAGAAGAAAATACACCACCCTAAAAGGCGACATATAAATCCCACTAGACCCACATTCTGAGGGTATTTTCAATATTTCAGGAGTAACTCTTTCAAAACAAGAACTATCTTTGCTCCATAAAGGCTTAAAAATTGCCCCAACTATGGGAATAAAACCATTTGACCTATTTCTTGATAATCAGAATTTTTTAAAGAAACTTACAGTTAAACGTTTCTTTGAAAAACGAACTCAAGACAGCTCAAATATGATCCAAGACACCAATTTAACAAATAATTTAGACATAATAAATGAAAACGAAAATGAAAATAATGACTTTGAAGGCATTATACATTCCAAATTTAAAAATAAATCAAATTTTTACCCTTCCTTTGCAAGAGGGAAGTTTCTAGAGGTTTTCAATGACCTCATACAAACTGATCTGGATAAGATTAAAAACACAAATCATAAACACAATCTCACTATCAAAGAAAGAGAAGCTTTAAAAAATCTTAAGAAAAAACACAATTTAGTGATCAAGGAGGCAGATAAAGGAGGTGGCACTGTAATTATGAGTAGGGAATACTATATGCAGGAGGCGTATCATATTCTAGGAGATAAAGTCACTTATAAAATATTAGAACAAGATCCTAGTAAGATCTTTTTACAAGAACTTAGAACATTATTAAAACAAGGTCTAGACAACAATATAATTTCAATAGACGAATTTAAGTTTATGTTTAACCCTTTCTGTAAAACAGCCATTTTTTATTTTTTACCCAAAATCCACAAGTGCCTTACCTCCCCCCCAGGTCGACCTATCATCAGTGGGATTAACTCCCTCACTTGCAATCTTTCGGAATATGTAGACGCCTTCTTAAAACCATTTGTACCCCTCTGTCCCTCTTATATAAGAGATACTAAGCATCTCTTACAAGATCTACAGACCTTCGAATGGAAGTCCTCCTATTTACTGGCTACAATTGATGTTACCTCCCTATATTCATAATCAAACATACCTCACTATAAGGGATTGGAAGTTATCAAAGATACTTTGACCCAACAGAATGGTCTATGCATACAACAAATAGATTTTTTGGTTATGTGTATTCAGTTTGTATTGCCAAAATTTTTTTTTTGGTTTGATTCAGTCTTCTTTTTACAGCTATGTGGTGTCGCCATGGGGACGAGGTTCGCACCAAGTTTTGCCAACCTTTATGTGGCCCATTGGGAGTCGCAACATGTCACCTTGGGATCCCACCTTGGGGGGAACCTTGTCCTATGGCGACGCTACATAGATGATGTGCTTATTATTTGGGAAGGCAATCACACCAGCCTTACGGATTTTATTGAGGACATCAATCAAAATGATTATAATCTAAAATTTACTTCTTCAATACATCACGAATCAATAGATTTTCTAGACTTGACTATATATGTCGAGGAAAACACATTAAGAACTAAGACATTTTTAAAAAAAAACGACTGCAATACTGCAATTAAAAACAATAGTTTACACCATCCACTATGGTTGGACAATATCCCCAAGGGACAAATAATCCGTATGAGAAGAAATTGCTCTACTACACATTCTTTTGAAGAGCAATCTCAAATCATACAAAATAGATATGTGGAGAAGGGATATAATAAGAAACAAATTGATCTGGAGATACAGAATATCAAAACAAAGAATCGATCTGAATTTCTAATAGATAGACAAAAAGGGAATCACAATAAAGGAAAGTTTGAATTTGCATTCACAACAAAATACAACACACATGCAAAAAAGATCGAAAATATTTAAAAAAAAACATTGGGCAATCCTTAAACAGGACGAAGTGCTAGGCCAGGTTTTACCAAACAAACCCCTAGTCATATATAAGAAAGCCGATAACTTAAAATCTCAATTGGCCCCCAGCCTTTTATATACTAATAAACCAAAGAAACATTTTTTGGAATCATCAAAAACTCCAGGTTTCCATAAATGTGGAAAGTGTTCCACATGTATAAATTTAGACAAAAAGATTGTCGATTTCAAAGGCACATACACCCAAAAAACATATCAAATTAAACATTTTTTACATTGTACCACTACATATGCCATATATCTGCTCCAATGTGGATGTGGGGCACAATATGTAGGTAGGACTACCCGTCAACTACATATTAGGTTCAGAGACAACTATACAGTGAGCACTATATTTTATTCTTTTACCTCGAGCTGGACTACTCCACCAAAGTACTCTGCCAAAGAACAAAAGAGGAGCAACGTATATCCTTGAGTGGGGATTATTCCACTACGTGCCATTTACACCAGAGCTGGATATAAGCTCTGAATATTGTGAGTAGTTCTACTATTCTATATACAATATTATTTTACCGTTCATACTGTACCATTGGAGTTTCCCTTGTCTTCTGTTTTCTTCACATATCCATTTTGAAGCTGCGGATATACATCTGGGACTTCACATACCATTTTATGTAGCACTAGGACTACCTCCTGCATATGTGGATTATTTATATTCGGACTTTCTAGGTATCGCTGCTTGGACTCTCTGATACATATTTTTATACACTCATTCTACTTGTCTTAGGTGCACCCTTATTTGTGCTTTTCTATCCATTGTATTCCAAGGGGCTTAGAGGGGATTCCCCTTTTCCATAGGTGTGCTGCCTTGCTGTCATATTCTCTGTTTTCCTATCAGCGCTGAACCTCCTTCCGGATCTCGATTACGTGTCAGTTTGTGTGTCTGTATGTATGTCGGTGTGCCAGTCAGTATGTCTGTGTATGTGTCAGTATGTATGTCTGTCACAGTGTCGGTATGTCTGTCACAGTGTCTGTGTGTGTGTGTCAGTGTGTATCTGTATGTTGTCAGTATGTATGTATCTGTGTGTGTGTGCCAGTGTGTATACCTGTGCATGTATCTGTATGTAGCCAATGTGTGTATCTGCATGCGTGTCAGTGTTTGTATCTGCATTTGTCAGGTTATGTATCTGTGTGTCTGTATGTTGTCATTGTGTGTGTCTGTGTATCTGTATGTTGTCAGTGTATCTGCGTGTGTGTGCGTGTGTGCATCTGTGTGTCTGCATGTGTGTGTGTCAGTGTGTGTAAATGTGTCTGTATAGCTGCATCTGTATGATTGTGTATATCTGTGTATCTGCAAGTGTTTCTGTGTGTGTATGTGTATCACAGTGTGTATGTGTTTGTGACAGTGCATGTGTATTTGTGCATACATCTCAGCATTCAACACTACACGCAAATACACACCTGCATTCAAACTTCAACACTACATATAAACACACCTCTTTTTTTTAAACAACAAAATTATAAACACACCAGTGTATTCATAAACCAACACCACACATAAATGCATACTTGCATTTAAATGCCATCTCCACATACAAACACACCCCTACATTCACACAAACATACTCCATACAAAAACATGCTTACACTCAAACACACAAATGCTGCTCAGTGCTAAATATAACCCTGCATGCATGGGAAAATGGTAGCGCCCCAGCTGTCAAAGCATTGTTGGAGTTGCATGACAGATGGGGATCTACCTTTTGCCCCCTCTTGCCCAAAATAATTCATGCACCAGAGCCCTCTCTACTTTATGTCCGCCTCTGTGTTGGGGTGGGGGGCATGATTGCATGCCAGGGAGGGGACCACCGGGTTCAGGGGGCCCAAGCAAATGTTTGCCCAGGGTCCAATCCATATTAGAGACGGTCCTGACATCAGTCTATCCTTGCAAGCGCGCTGTCTTGGCGTCATATTTGATTTTAGTATCACCTTTGAGCCTCAGATTCAGTATGTTAGCAAATTCTGTAGATTCCATCTTAAAAACATAGCCCACATCCGCCCCTTTCTTATGCAAGATGCTACCAAGGAGCTTGTCCATGCTCTAGTAATTTCCCGCTTGGATTATTGTAACCGTCTCCTAATCAGTGGCGGATCCAGAGCCTGATCTCAGGAGGGGCACTTGTAGATTATTTAAATAAATAATCCAGACACAATAACCACTACAGCTCAGTGTAGTGGTTATGGTGCCAATAGTGCCGGGACCCCCTCCCAGAGTAAGTAGTCAAACCGTTTAAGAACAGTTTGACAACTTACCTGAGGTCTGCTGGGAAATGGGGCTGTCATAGGGCATAGGAACAGTGGTGTGTGTGAGTGGTGCAATGTGTTAGGGGTGCAGTGTGTGTGTGTGAGGTGGACAGTGTGTGAAGGTTGCAGTGTGTGAGTGAGGGCGGCAGTGTATGTCAGGGGTGCAGTGTGTGTGTTAAGGGGCAGTGTATGTGTGGGTCAGTATGTGTGTGACAGTTGCAGTGTATGTGTGTATGGGGGGACAGTGTATGTGTAGGGCAATGTGTGTGTGGAGGGGCAGTGTATGTGTAGGGCAATGTGTGTATGGGGGCTGTGTATGTGTGTATCGGGGCAGTTTGTGTGTATGGGGGGCAATGTGATAAGGCTGGGTGGGTCTTTTTTAGAATATGCTTTTTTTTAAATTTATTTAATTAAAATTAATATTCATTATGTCCCCCCTACCTTCTTACCTTTACTGGGAGGAGGGGGGACATTTATGGATCCCTGGTGGTCTGGTGGGGAATCCTTGGTGGCCCAGTGGTGAGAGTGAACTCTAGCCCATAGCTCCAGGGCTAGAGTTCACTGTCGCGAGATTTGGAGCGTTGCCGTGGTAACCACAGCAACGGTCCGTGACGCGAGAAGAGGACCCGGAGGAGCTGCAGGTAACAATCTCTGATCTCCCTCCCCGGTCCGCAGGCACATTGCAGGGCTAGCGCCTGCATGTGCTGGCAGAGGAGAGGGAGACCGTTGGTTTTCTCGGGGGGGAGGGGGGGCAATTGCCGTTGCCCCCCCTGGATCCGCCACTGCTCCTAATTGGTCTTCCCAAAAGTCACATTGCCCGGCTACACTCTGTAATGAATGCTGCCGCCAGACTGATTGTCCTCTCTAGTCGGTTCTCTCACACTTGACCCCTCTGTCAGTCCTTACATTGGCTTCCTATATCCTATAGGAGTCAACTCAAAGTGCTAATCCACACCTATAAAGCACTGAACAATTCTAGCCCCTCCTATATTTCTTCACAGAACCATAGGTGTGCCCCTTCTCGGTTCCTCCGCTTTGCCCGTGACCTTCTCTTGTCCGCTGCTCGCACCCGTACGGCCAACTCACGCTTGTAGGACTTCTCCCTTCCTATGGTATAGCCTGCCTACCGCCATCAGACTCTCCCTTAGTCTTCAATCGTTTAAGAAGTGCCTTAAAACCCATCTCTTTAGGAAAGCTTATGGCCTCCCAGAGTAACCTCTACGTTACATACCTGTCTCTTGCTCTCATATAGGGCAGCACTCTACTCTCTCCTCCAGCTCTGCTTCACTCCCACTTTATTTGATTGATATTTCCTGTCCCATTGATATTTCCCTCCTATAGACTGTAAGCTCATTTGAGCAGGGCCCTCTTCCACCTATCGTTCCTGTAAGTTTTCTTGTAACTGTACTATTTATAGTTAAATCCCCACTCTTATAATATTGTAACGTGCTACAGAATCTGTTGGCGCTGTATGAATGGCAATAATAATAATAATAATAATAATAATAATAATATCACTTCTATCAGAAAATATAAGAATAAAAATTATGGAAAGTATGTTACAGGTTAGTCAAGGTCAGGATTCATCTAACCCTAGATCACAGAGGATAGGTCAAACTCAAGACTTAAAAGTAAAGAGTACAGAGACATTAGAATGGACCTAAAAACAGGAGAGAGGAGTCACATAGAATAAAGGTTAAACTATAGACACCAGAACAACTTTAGCTTAATGAAGCAGTTTTTGTGTATAGATCATTAAATTGCTTTTGTTTCTGTTTATGCAGCCCTAGCCACACCTCCCCTGGCTGTGACTGACACAGCCTGCATGAAAAAGTAACTTACTTTAAAAGTTTTTATCTCCTGCTCTGTAAATTTAACTTTAATCACACACAGGAGGTTCCTGCAGGGTCTAGCAAGCTATTCACAGAGAAGGAGATAAATTCTAAATTAAGAAGAATTTGTAATAAAGGAAGTATGAACATTAGATGACTCTTTACAGGAAGTGTTAGGAAGGCTTTGCAAGTCACAAGCAGAGAGGTGTGACTAGGGCTGCATAAACAAAGTGATTTAACTCCTAAATGGCAAAGAAATAAACAGTCAGGTGTAAACAGACTGTAAGGACACAATCTAAACACCAAAACGACTTTTAATTAAGCTAAAGTTTAAACTTTTGTTGAGTATAATGTCCCTTGAAGAAATGCAGACCGCATACACACGTAAACTAGATGAGCCAAGGGGAACTAGAAAACAGGAGCCATAAACCAAAATTGTAACCAGGAATCCGATACCAGTATAACTCGTTATCAGGCTATGCTTGGTGAGAAGTTTAAAAAAGTACTTTATGGTTATATAACTCATTTTGAGGATCCTCCAGAAAACGTGAGTGCACATACATTGGTTTGATGCAGTATGAGAAAAACCAGACAGAAACACCAAAACTGTTATAATGCTTCAAGAGAACATGTGAACCCTGGATAAAATGTACATATTGTATGGATAGCCAATTGCAGTCTGTGCCAGATGAACATCTTAAAGGGAGACTATCAATGCTCTTGAATATATACTAAAAGACTGACAATCACTTACAATTCGGAGTAATCAAAACAAATGTGTTTTTTCTTTTAAATTTATATAAAAATATTCACAAACCTTTAAAATCCATTTTAGACAAGATAAATCCAGGGCAAACATTGCAAATGTAAATGAGAAATAAAAACATAGTTTCATTTCTCCTCCTCTCAGTATGCTCTCTCTATACTGACTGCCAAGTGTCAAACAGAGCTTATAACCATGATTGACAGGGAGCTAAGATGGAGGTGGCTCTCTCTATACTGACTGCCAGGTGTAAAGGGCGGAGCTTATAACAATGATTGACAGGGAGCTAAGATGGAGGCGGCTCTCTCTATACTGACTGCCAGGTGTAAAGGGCGGAGCTTATAACAATGATTGACAGGGAGCTAAGATGGAGGTGGCTCTCTCTATACTGACTGCCAGGTGTAAAGGGCAGAGCTTATAACAATGATTGACAGGGAGCTAAGATGGAGGTGGCTCTCTCTATACTGACTGCCAGGTGTAAAGGGCGGAGCTTATAACAATGATTGACAGGGAGCTAAGATGGAAGTGGCTCTCTCTATACCGACTGCCAGGTGTAAAGGGCGGAGCTTATAACAATGATTGACAGGGAGCTAAGATGGAGGTGGGTCTCTATACTGACTGCCAGGTGTAAAGGGCGAAGCTTATAACAATGACTAACAGGGAGCTAAGATGGAGGGGGCTCTCTCTGTACCGATTGCCAGGTGTAAAGGGCGGAGCTTATAACAATGACTGACAGGGAGCTAAGATGGAGGTGGCTCTCTCTATACTGACTGCCAGGTGTAAAGGGCGGAGCTTATAACAATGATTGACAGAGAGCTAAGATGGAGGTGTGTGGCGGAACCAACCTCGCCACTGGCCACTGGAGGAGCCTGGTCGCCTGCCTCCTGCCACTGGACTATGGACCCATGTTTAACACTGTTCTTTTTCCCTGCAGAAAGGCTGGTTCATGCCTTTCTGCGGACTGTTAAAGCCCCCAGATAGCTATGCCATGGAGCCCAGCCGTATACTGAAAGACTGTATGAAAGACTTTGGCTCCATGGCGATTGAACAGTATGTATGTTATCTGAGCGCCATCCGGTAGTAATGGGCGCTCCGATCTAAGCTATCTGGGGATAGGTAGAATGTGTATGTTCTATGTGATAAATGTAACAGTATGTATTTTTATGTCTTTTATTATCCTTTGTCGGCCATGTGGTTAATGGAGTTTTGCCTCTGTCCTTGGAGATAATTGGATTACTTCCCAATTATCTCCAGGACAGAGAGGAGGGATTGTGATGCATTGTGGGATTGTAAACTTGGGATTGGTCAATGTCCAATATGTTTCCCAGTTTCCCATCTGGTCCCCTATGGGAGTGTCCACCAGGTGGGAGACCTGCATAAAAGCAGGTAGCCACAGTAAACCAGTTCTGCTTGACCTTCAAATGAAGTGTCGTCTCGTTCTTGGGGGGAATTGGATTGTATGCTGTTACAGTGCGACTGCCAGGAGTGTAAGCTGTTCGTATGGTTTTTCCTGTTCGGCTGTTTACAGCATTTATGTGTTTCCTGTTCAGGAGTTGGAGTTTTCATTTGTTTGCAATTCGGGAGATTGGTGAATTCATGTGTTTGCAGTTCGGGAGATTGGTGAATTCATATGGTTGCAGTTCGGGAGATTGGTGATTGCAGTAGCTGCCTGTTTATCTGAAAAGGGGAATATCGCCTAAACGGTTTTTAACCTCTTGTGTGCAAAACGGTCCGTTACAAGGTGGCTCTCTCTATACTGACTGCCAGGTGTAAAGGGAGGAGCTTATAACAATGATTGACACGGAGCTAAGATGGAGGTGGCTCTCTGTATACTGACTGCCAGGTGTAAAGGGCGGAGCTTATAACAATGATTGACAGGGAGCTAAGATGGAGGTGGCTCTCCTTGTGTTGACTGCCAGGTGTAAAGGGCGGAGCTTATAACAATGATTGACAGGGAGCTCCCAGTTACAGGATAAAGAGATATGGATCTATAAATGTAATTTTGTTTTTCACTAGACACAAATGAAGATATTAAATATAAGAAAAAGTAAACATAATATTAAGAATCCTGGAAAGTGATAGTTTCACTTTAATAGGAATCTAAAAATGAAAACCTTGAACAAGGCTTTTGGTGAGGTAAAAAATGACTTGTGGGTAACAATAGATTATCCTGGAAACAAAATGTTTGTCTGGGCGTTTGTATGTACTGCTGTTTGGATAGTGTATTAAAACAGATTATAAATGGTCAGATAATTATATTATTTTTTTGGAATAGCCAACTGCCTAGAATCATTAAATTTTCTATCCAGTAAGGACTTCAGCACTCTGTATCCCTCAGATACCTGTTCTGGGGGATGAATCAAGGGTCCCCATCAAGGGCTTTTGAAAATTTTCAGAAAAAATGTTGTAAGACTCCACAAGACCTTTTATTCCATGGAAGGATAGACCCAGGAGCTTTCAACCTTACGGTCTTTGTCAAGCCTGGTCTTGTAGAGTCTTCTTACATTTCTCCTGTACTCATTTAGTGGCTGAACTTAAAGTGAACTGTCTAAAAAATATATTATTAGTTTTTGTTTCTTAATAAGAATTGCAAAGGTTTTTTCTTACCCAATCCTTGGTTCTGCTGTTCCCACTCTTGTGTGTCGGGAACCTGATAAGCTGTTCCATCCATCAATACAACGTTATTTTTGTCTTCGAGAGGTTCCTGGGACGACAGACCTGGAAGTGTGAATGGTGGCAAGTCAGCATCCCCTTCTAGGCTTTCATTGATAGAGTCTGTGTATTTGTCATCTTCGTCATCATCTTCTTCTTCATCTCCATCATCTTCATCATCATCTTCTTCGTCATCATCTTCTTCATCTCCCTCTGTACCAAGATTCAGAAAACATAAATGTTAATGTTCTGTTTTTTTTTTTTTGTTTTTTTTTTCTGAATAACATAACAAGCTAGCACACTTCAAATTGTTTTCACTATGGAAAAATGTGGCTCATCCAAAGTTAGCAGATGCAGTTCCTTCTGCAAGATGTGGTTTAGAAAACACGTGCCTTTGATGCTCTCCAGGTTTAAAGAAAAAACCTACTGGAGAACTTTGGCTATAGGTGTAATTAAAGTAAAATTCAGGGAATAGAAGTCCATAATTGAGTGCTGTCCCACCCACTACATCCCAAATATGACTTCATGGTGGACCCACCCAACACCTTCCTGTAACAATTTATCACTGGCCAAAACAGCCAGACTTGTTAGCACTGCTGCTGGTAGGAGTGAAATGATGGGGGAGAGAGAAAGACAACAATCATACGGAAAGGTATTTACTAAACCACAGATTGTCAGGAATCGATCAGGAATTGCTAATTTTAGGTAAAAATAGCTGCAATGGACAAAGTCTCTGATTGCAATTCACTGATGAATTCCAGACAATTCCATCTTTACTAAATACCTTTTGGGGTCGTTCACTTAAGTGTGAATTTTTGAGAAGTCAGAGTTTATTTAAAGTGAATTTCAAATCATAAAAAGTCAATGTTTTCAGTTTGGCTATTTTAACATTAAATTTGATTTTCACTTTGAATTGACTTTGAATTCCTGACAATTCACATGTTTAGTTAATGGCCCAGACTTATACAATCCCAATAAAAGTTTTTTTTTGTTTGTTTTATAAACAAAGTATATCTAAAGATATAAAAAAAAAACTCCTCCCTACCTCTAGTATATGACAAGATGTTTCATCAGTGTTGGATCAGACAGTGTTTGAAACCTTCAGTCAGTCTCTATGGTCTTCCCTGCTTCACTCCCTGCACAGAAACCATAGAGACTCACTGTTGGTGACAGTTGTCCTTTATATGCATTGCCCAGACTTGAGGAACAAGGAACATTTTTTTTTGTTTGTTTGTTTTTTATTGTTTAGAGCTTTATTTCCCCTTATAAGATATATTTTTTAATGCAATGTGGGTTTCAGCATGCCCCCGGTGTGATTTAAGGCAGGCTATATTTAGCCTGCTAAAGAGGAGAAGAAACAGAAGCACGTCAGCAAGAGAGGACACAAGATCAATGAGGCACTGAAGCAGTTAGAAGATGTAATGAAACCGCGACAGTTGAATGACAATCTACCTGCTCTGGCAGTTCTGCGTGGCCGGAGGACAGATGTAGCATGCAAGCCTTCAAACTTTACAGAATGAAAGAGAGAGAGAAAGAAATGGTTGTGGTTTGTGTCTCTCTTCTTGTTACTGATGTCGAAAAAGCAGAGGGAACTTGGAGGATCCTTAAAAAGTTCTCCTTCTGTTAATAACACTCACGTTGATAGCTACCGAGCTGAACGTTCCATATGGAACACTTGGTGTTTGCTTCGTTGTTTAGACCCTGCAGGGGCTGGCAAATGTGGGTATAATCTAGAGATAGACAAACACGTCTAGAAAGCCAGAGAATTGGCTCCAGAGACTTCTATATAGAATACTGGAAATCTAGGCACAACCGATGGCATTAACCCATGCACCCTGGCATTTGCAATAGGGGTGTAATGTGTAAAAAGAGTATATGACCCCACTTGCATCTACGCCTTCTCTCATCCGGTTCAGTTTCGTGCCCGTTTAATTTCTTGTTGAGTAAGAGGATGTCTATTAAATAGCCGCAATACTGGGTATTCCGACTCCAACCATAGGAGCCATGAGTGCATACTATGGAGAAGGGCAGTTTTATCTACTTATGAATTATGTTTGTGTTTGTGTTGCCTGTACTGCTGTATTGATCACACAATAAATATTGTTTACTGCCAGATTCCATCGCCAGATGGCAAAAGCTGTCTTTTAATTTTATCCCATCACTTTATAGGTAACTCAGTCAGATGATGGAAATTTTACTGATCAGTTTTGAAAAACAGATTTGCGATCCGCAGAATAATACAGGTCTTCTGTTTACGCAATGCATATAAATTGTGAAGAATTTGCATTGTAATGTGCATAGTTTTGGACATTTGTGTAAGTGGGTTATGAAATTCCAAATGTATTGTGACAGAGGGGACAAAAAAACAGGTATATCTCCAAAACTAGTCCTCGATCTGCTACTAATTAAACACAAGGCAGCAGTATAACCAGACTACTCTGTATTCTACCACACCGATCATACAATATAAAAATTCAAAAAAACACATAGATCTCAAGGGGAAAAAAACTAAATATAAATAAAGTTGGTCTCCTGTATTCAAATTAGTAGAGAACTATTCATTTCTGTTTACTTGTGCAAGATATTCTTAACCAACAAGGGTATGTGAGCGCTCCAAATAAATTATGACCACTAGAAAAATTATACTCCAAAACAGCAGCTGTAGAATAAAATAAAAATATACATATACACAAAATATTTATTCATATATAAACAATGACATTGATCAAACATAAGAACCATGAAAAGATCATTATAAATATAAAAATGGTCATAAAGATGTGTCCAGACCAAAATTCAAAGATACATAGTGTGGGGCCCCCAACACTAATATAGATTATGTATCAAAGAGAAAAAAAAAAATTTTTAAATGAAAAAAGATTGTGCACATCAAATTATAAAACATCAAAAAATGTCATAAAATGAATATCAGACCTCAAACACATATATAATTCATGGGGGAGGGAGCTCATAAACCCACCAAACCACTAGGTAAAGGTGAGGGGTGCTGCTATGAATAGTCTCCTAGTGTTAAAAACTAGGGATTAAACCAGAGCAATTTACCCTATTCACCTTACCTTCGTGTAAGGTAAGGGGAGCACGCCAACTCCCTACCACGGGACAAGATGTGTGGGACTGAATTCAACAGCTGCCGAAAAAATCCCTCCCGGACCGTAAATGAAGTCGGGTAGAAAATCAGAGGAGACGGAAAACAGAAAACCGTCTCCTCTGATTTTCTACCCGTCTTCATTTACGGTCCGGGAGGGATTTTTTCGGCAGCTGTTGAATTCAGTCCCACACATCTTGTCCCGTGGTAGGGAGTTGGCGTGCTCCCCTTACCTTACACGAAGGTAAGGTGAATAGGGTAAGTTGCTCTGGTTTAATCCCTAGTTTTTAACACTAGGAGACTATTCATAGCGGCACCCCTCACCTTTACCTAGTGGTTTGGTGGGTTTATGAGCTCCCTCCCCCATGAATTATATATGTGTTTGAGGTCTGATATTCATTTTTTGACATTTTTTGATGTTTTATAATTTGATGTGCACAATCTTTTTTCATTTTAAAATTTTTTTTTTCTCTTTGATACATAATCTATATTAGTGTTGGGGGCCCCACACTATGTATCTTTGAATTTTGGTCTGGACACATCTTTATGACCATTTTTATATTTATAATGATCTTTTCATGGTTCTTATGTTTGATCAATGTCATTGTTTATATATGAATAAATATTTTGTGTATATGTATATTTTTATTTTATTCTACAGCTGCTGTTTTGGAGTATAATTTTTCTAGTGGACATAATTTTTTGGAGCGCTCACATACCCTTGTTGGTTTATATTTTATTTGGTTATTTAGTCGCTCCTCTGTATGTGACGCAGCCCTTTTTATTATTCTGCACAGATTTATTGTACACTCCTATTCAGATTCTTTTGATGTTTATTGCAAGATATTCTTCCCAGAAAAAAAAAATTGTTTTACCAGTTCCAGAAAGCCATTTGTTCTGAAATAGAGACATTTCTGTCACTCGTGTGGTTGTGGATTATAATTCTCAGTTCACTCAATCACAAATAATGATATTTGTTGCTTTGCGTCTATATCCCAATACAAAGCCCATGTTCTGGGTAAAAGTATACATTACTGTGGAGTGTGGTGCCCTCTACTGGAATCAAAGCACACAAGCTAGGACGTATATACAATCATTGTGCTTAAACTATGTAGCTTGGGGGAGCCAGGTAACCAAGTAAGTCCATTGATTGCCAAGCAAAATAAATAGTATCGCTGTATCTAATCATACCTTAGTTATATTGCATATTTTAAATAAAATTAAGCTGTAGTGGGTAAAGTGTTCCCATTGGCTTGTTATCCTTGATAATTCATCTTAAAAATATAAATCTTTACAGAAGATTAAAGATTAATTAGAAAATGGCCATCCTGCAGAGATACAAAGGAATTCCTAGTGTGATGGAGCTCAGTTATAACAACGTACAGAGCAAGTGATATTAAAGACTCCGGAGAAATATTACGGGAAACAATGTAACAAAGGAATAGCCAAGAATGTGTAATACATTCATTACCCAATATCAACTACAAATATGGTTAAAAGTCATGATGTGGGGCGTACCCAAACACTTGGTCCATTAATAGCATTAGTACCCCAACACTTGGTCCATTAGTATCATTCATACCTAAACACATGGTCTGTTGGTAGCGTTAGTATCCAAACACATGGTCCGTTAGTACCCAAACATAGTCAATTATTAGCGTTAGTACGTAAACACTTGGTTCGTTAGTAGCATTACTACCCAAACACAAGGTCCATTACTAGCATTAGTACCCAAACAAATGGCCCTTTAGTAGCGTTAGTACCCAAACACATGGTCCGTAAGTAGTGTTCGTACCCAAACACATGGTCTGTTAGTAGCGTTAGTACCCAAACACAAGGTTTGTTAGTAGCGTTAGTATCCAAACACATGGTCTGTTATTAGCATTAATACCCAAACACATGGTCCGTAAGTAGTGTTCGTACCCAAACACAAGGTCTGTTAGTAGCATTAGTACCCAAACACATTGTCTGTTAATAGCGTTAGTACCCAAACACATGGTCCGTAAGTAGTGTTTGTACCCAAACACATGGTCTGTTAGTAGCATTAGTACCCAAACACATGGTCTGTTAGTAGCGTTAGTACCCAAACACATGGTCTGTTATTAGCGTTAGTACCCAAACACATGGTCTGTTAGTAGCATTAGTACCCAAACACATGGTCTGTTATTATCATTAATACCCAAACACATGGTCCGTAAGTAGTGTTCATACCCAAACACAAGGTCTGTTAGTAGCATTAGTACCCAAACACATTGTTTGTTAATAGCGTTAGTACCCAAACACATGGTCCGTAAGTAGTGTTCGTACCCAAACACATGGTCTGTTAGTAGTATTAGTACCCAAACACATGGTCCGTAAGTAGTGTTCGTACCCAAACACATGGTCTGTTAGTATCGTTAGTACCCAAACACATGGTCTGTTAGTAGCATTAGTACCCAAACACAAGGTCTGTTAGTAGCATTGGTACCCAAACACAAGGTCTGTTAGTAGCATTGGTACCCAAACACATGGTCTGTTAGTAGCGTTAGTACCCAAACACATGGTCCGTAAGTAGTGTTTGTACCCAAACACATGGTCTGTTAGTAGCGTTAGTACCCAAACACATGGTCCGTAAGTAGTGTTCGTACCCAAACACATAGTCTGTTAGTAGCGTTAGTACCCAAACACAAGGTCTGTTAGTAGCATTGGTACCCAAACACATAGTCTGTTAGTAGCGTTAGTACCCAAACACATGGTCCATTAATAGCATTAGTACCCATTATAGATTATTTGATAAACATGTTGTGTAAGTTCTGATAACTGTATGAAAGTTTCTTGGACAGAGTAATGCATTATGTTGCAAAAAGAGGTTGAGATTGATCTTTTGTCTAACAAATTGCTGTTGAAATTACTGACATAAATAAATGTTCTTAATTACTGCACCCCACACAACAAGAAAACCTAGTCAGCTTTAAAAAGGGAACAATTTCAACACCACCTATACACTGATTGAAATGTGTCTAATATCAAGTGAAATATTCCTCACTAATTGTTTTCTTGGGAATCTTGATGAGGCTCAATAATCACTTGCTGACTCTTCCAAGACAAAAATAAAAGACACATTGTAAGTTTATCAGAATTTTCATAAAATATGAGGTTTATATTTAGGGACACCATTTTTTCTTGGGTAAATTGCTGACAAATAACTGAATTGCAATTGCTGCACAACATCTTGAGCAACAGAGGAGTCTTATCTCATATAAGGTAGACCAAGAAAAATCTGAATCCATGGTTCTGTACTAAAGGGATACTGTACGCACAGTGCATTGGTTCAAAAATCTCTTAGCTAATTAATAGCACAAAGAAAATAATCAACGGCCAGTCCCGTCTCCACGCACTTTAATAAAAGACTTGTTACCTGTACCTTCAGAATCCGGCTTTTCCAGGACACCCCCGGCTGTGGCGGTGACTTGCCTTACAGGAGGAGCCATTACATTCACTTGGGAGGAGAATGGAACAGATGTCACTGCGGTGATGGTAACTGTGTTATCGGCTTTAACTGGTTCTTCACTACGTACAGCTGGAGACACTGAAACAGACAAGAACACGTCCTCCTTAGACATTGGATTCCAACCTAAAAAAATATTAACACTTAATATGTAGACTATGTATGCAGGATGTATTCTGGTAGGTAAGAGGAAATGGGATATGCTTAAACCATGGGTAGTCAACCTGGTCCCTACCGCCCAGTAGTGTGCGGTTTGGGATTTTAGGTGGGTGGTGGTGGGTTCTGCAGAAAACGCCCAGTGGGCCTCGATGGCCGAGGACCAAGGCCTGCAGGGGTGATCCTTTCATCTCCCCTGCCGGTCCATGAAGAGTCAGCCTTGCTGTAGGCCCTCTTTGGCTGGTGAGGAGATCAAAGATCTCCCCCACCGGCCTGCTGGCACTTAGTTCTAGCAGAGGGAGGGAAGGCCCTGGGGGGGCTCTGTCTTCCTTCTGCGAGAAGGCTGGTCAGAGCGTTGCCATGTGCTGCGCTCGCAGGAGGACAGAAGTGTCAGCCTGCAGCCAGAGGAGCTGCACGCTAAAGTGAACATGCCACCACTGGACCACCAGGGTTGCAGCATTATGTCCCCTCCCGCCCTGGTAAATGGTAAGAAGAAAGGAGGGGGAGATATTAACATAGATTTTTACATCTCACCCACCCACACAAAGCATAGACCTTATGGACCCTTCACACACACACACTACACCCCTTACATACACTGCCCCCTCACACACACACACACACACTACACCCTTCACACGCACTGCCCCGCTCACACACGCACTGCCTCCTTCACACATGTACTGCGCCTCAAACACACTGCACCTTTCCCCAACACACAGCACCTCTTACTCACATACAGCACCCCTCACACACACACACACTGCCCCTCACACACACACACTACACCATTCACACATAAACACACACAGACATACACAGCACCATTCACACACTCAGCACCTCACACACACACATATAAAAAAAGGAGAATAAAAAAATGGGGAAAAAATAGATAAATGTAAGTACATTTTCTTTTTTTTTTAAAAAGAGAAAACCCTCATTTCTAAAAAAAGATTTAAATTTAAATTGCACTTGCGCTATAAAATTTGTTACTACGCCCCTGGTGGGCAGTGAGAAAATTTTACCATCAACAAATATACAAAAATGGGCGGTAGATATTAAAAGGTTGACTACCCCTGGCTTAAACAATAGTAGTTGCAATGTAACAGTTCACTTTATATACAGGCCCGTCTGTAAAGTAATACTTACAATGCTGTCTTACATTCAGACCCTACACCAAGATAACATATTTTCTGCTGATCACTCCAAGTCGATAGTCAGAAGTTCATTGAGTGCAAACCTCAAGAGGAGTTTTTCCCCCGACCCTCTGAATTTGCCAGTAAATGGCAAAACGAAGACGAAGAGTCTGGACTCAACATTTACCTTTTTCATTCCTGTATTAGCAATCATAGAATCTATCGCATGTTTGAAACCTCTAACAGAAAATCCTGCAATGGCTATGGACCCATAATGCCCCATCTAGTCTTTCACACCCTTAAACGCAGTTATACCATGATAAATAGATTGTGCAGGGGTGCAAAGCAGTGAGAAATGCCATAAAGGAATGACACCATACACTACCACGGCAGTAATAATGAGCTATCTCCCTGCTCCCTCATCCTACATCCGATCAGGGGTGTTCACCTTAGCACTGCAGACGTGTGTAAAATATACAATCCCATTATATTCAATCTGCCTTTAACGAACCCTGATGGAACCAGAATGAAGCCTGCCTGAGCTCCGGGAGATGTGTCATTGCCATGTCTACAGAACCATTGTAGCCAGAACTGCACAAATGGTAACTTAATTAAATACACGGGGCAAAGGTGTTTCTTACCTGTGTGTGACTGCACTATCTACAATAACACCTAATACTTTGTTACCGACAGAGAATCAGGAAAGTAATAACATCAGACACTCGCTTTTAATACAAGCAGAACAACAATAAATGTACAAAGGAAGGCATGGGATAGAAGATTAGAATGCAGAGTTCTTCCCTATGAAGCTAACTCTGTAAACAAATTAAGCATTTTCTATAAGCTGCCACCTAGGAATTGATGCTGCATGCTGTGGTGACACAGTCATTATTACTCCAGGCTAATTAGTGTCATTAATTTGAGAGAAAATTTATACCTTCGGCAGATGTGGATGAAGACTCCGGTTGAAGAGGACTGATGCCCATTAATGGATTCTCTGATGCTGCTTTTTCTGCATTGTCACCGGCAGCAGGTTCCCTAGTGACATCCTCAGTTGTATCTTCTTTAAGTATGGCAGCTGTTAAAGTGGCATCGCTGTGCTCAGCTTCGGCCGAGCTCTGCTGGTTGACACCTGCTACATAAAGGGGCAGGGAGGTAAGATGTTACAATCCTTAGCCTGCAAACCTATGCCAAGGCTGAGCTGGACTAAGTATGTATCAATCAGCTGCCAAACCATCCCACAAGTAAGCTTTATTTTAGTAGAACCCACGGAGATCTGCATCAGACACCCCATAAGTTCAGTTCCCCAAGTAACATTTTATAAACCATAGCTACCTAGTCACTACCTAAGTCAGTAACATCTTAAGAATGGATTATATTAGAGTGTCTATTCACAAAAAATTTGCAACTCAAATAATGTTTCCTGTCTTTATTTGAGACATTAAACACCTACAAAATATCATCAGACACAAACAGGGCCACCACCAGAAATTTTGGGGCCCCTAACAAAGCACAAGCTATGCCCCTCCCCCCCGCCCGCCTCACTCCCACATAGTCCGCTGACAATGATGCAGGACTGAATGTGGTGTGTATAGTGGAAGTGAATTAGAATGTGTGTAATGGTTGTAGTGTTTGTGTGTATTAGATACTGTTTGTGCTGTGAATGCAGAGTGTGTGTTTGTGTAGTGGAAGCAGTGTGTATAGTGAACGCAGAGTGTGTTTGATTAGTGGATGTAAGGTGTGTTTGTGTAGTGGATGTAGTGTTTGTGTGTACGAGATGCAGTGTCTGTAGAAGTGGCGGATCCGGGGGGCAACGGGGCAATTGCTCCCCCGCGAAAACCGACGGTCTCCCTCTCCCCTGCCAGCACATGCAGGCGCTAGCTCTGCAATGTGCCTGCGGACCGGGGAGGGAGATCAGATAGAGCTCTTACCTGCAGCTCCTCCGGGTCCTCTTCTCGCGAGCACGGAGCGTTGCTGCGGTTATCACAGCAACGCTCCAAATCTCGCAAGAGTGAACTCTAGCCCTGGAGCTACGGGCTAGAGTTCACTCTCACCACTGGGCCACCAGGGATTCACCACCAGACCACCAGGGATCCAGAAATGTCCCCCCTCCTCCCAGTAAAGGTAAGAAGGGAGGAATATTAATTTTAATTAAATACATTTTTAAAAAATCATATTATTAAAAAAGTCCACCCCAGCCTTACCTACACACACAGTGCCCCCCATACACACACACTGCCCCCCGTACACACATACTGCCCCCCGTACACACTGCCCCCCGTACACACACTGCCCCCCGTACACACACTGCCCCCCGTACACACATATGTGTATATGTATAAAAAAAATATAAAAAGTAATCTGCAAAGTACAAAATGTTTGTGTCATATGTCGTGCTAATAATTAAGCTAGGAATGTGCATATTTTTTTTAATAAATTTTTAGAATAATGATACAGACATTTTATATCTTACATTTGTGATGATTCTTTTTTCACCTCTATATTCAAGGGACACTATAGTCACCAGAACCACAACAGCTAAACGTAGTAGTTCTGGTGTCTATAGCATGTCTTTGCAGGCTTTTTAATGTAAGCACTGCCATTTTGTAAAAAGGCAGTATTTACATTACTGCTGAGGAATACCTCCAGTGGACACTCAGATGGCCACTAGAGGTGCTTCCTAGTCGAGACATGAATGCGCACCAGGGAGCAATGACACTTCTGAATAGAAGCGTTTTATTGCTCCCTGCTCGCACCCTCCTATTTTGTCATTTTGATGAAATAGGGGGCGCGACATCAGGAGGATCCCGGCGCTGTATCCAGGTAAGTAAAACCCCTTCCCTGTAGTGACCCTTTCATCTTATTATTTTATCATTTACAGAGTGTGTCAGTGCAGTGAATGCAGAGTGTGGATCAGTGCAGTGAATGCAGAGTGTGTGTGTTTACTAGTGTATGCATGTTGTGCAAATGAAGCATTTTCCCCTCCCCCCACGTTAAATCCCCCACATTAAATGTTATTTCTGTTATCCCCCCCCTCCCTGTTTCTTACCTGGTTCAGGGAGGGGGGAGATTCCATGATCCCTGGTGGTCCAGTGGCATGGTGGGCCCCCGGCTCCCTGTACTTGCAGGGGGGCCCAGCAGTCTGCAGCTGTATGTTACAGCTCTTCCCTCTGTCTAACTCCCGCAAGCGTGATGTGTGTGCCACATGGAGCGTTGCCATGGTAACCTGTGGCAACGCTCTGACAGCTGCACATCTTGCGGGAGTTAGAGAGAGGGAAGAGCTGTAACATACAGCTGCAGACTGCTGGGCCCCCCTGCAAGTACAGGGAGCCGGGGGGCCGCGGCTGCACATATATATATATATATATATATATATATATAGCAATCATCGCTATATATATGTGCAGAGAAGGAATGTGGGGCGCTGGGCTTGTCACCCCCTGATGGCGGCCCTGGATACAAAGCAATTGCAACTTCAATTTAACAATAGGTTTATATAGTCAGAGAGCGATCCCACGGATGTCGATTAGCATTTAATGACATAGGCCATTAAATGTGTAGAGTAGACAACAATTGGCACTCCACATGTAATCAGCAACATCTGGGGTGCCGAAGTTTGTCTACTCCTGGCATGGATGTTGCTAGTGGTGGGATTTTGGGGATGAAGCCCAAGATGTGCATTTGTTTCAGTGTAATAGTTGCTATGCTATGCATTTGTTTCACATTCCACTTTTTGGAGGTTTGGTTGTTGTCTAATCTGTAGACAGTTCTCTATCTTGCGGCAGGAGATTGTATTCTTGAAGTCTGAGATTTGTAAATTATCTGGTAAACAAACTCAGACTGGAACTGCTGCAAAGTCACTGCCGCAGAGACATACTAGGAATGGCAGATGGATTACTGTAGGATCTGGTAGACTTAGAGTTGTTGATAAAAGGCATATTGCACAGTCTGTTGCTCTACATAATTAATTTTCTGCTCTTTCAGAGTGTAATGGTGTTGTGGAGAGAGGCACTGAGGCTAATTGTGTTGTGGGGAGAGGCACTGAGGCTAGTGGTGTTGTGGAGAGAGGCTTGGAGACTATGGTGAGGCCTAATAGAAAGCAGTTGTTGTTGGGGGATTCCATCATAAGAGGTGTGGAGATAGACAATGGTGGTCTTGTGAGATGTCTTCCCGGAGCTACTGCTCACAGAGACAGGAGACGTATCTCTAATATTGTTAAGCGAGCAAAGCAGGAATGGGAATTGGATGTACTTGTCCATCTAGGGACAAATGACTTGGCTTGCAATGAGGTTTCAGAGGTTAAGGAAGTTTTTAGTGTTTTTGCCAATGATATACGGCAGGTTGCTTCCACACTGTCATTCTCTGAAGTTCTGCCTGTGCATAACACTCAGAACGACAGGCGGATGCGTATTAGGGACTTTAATTTGTGGCTTGGTGAATGGTGTCGGGAGCAAGGATTTGGCTTTATTTCTCATGGTAGCTCTGTTTGGAATGGAAATAACCTGTACAAAAAAGATGGTTTGCATCTTTCTCAAAAGGGAACAAATGTTCTCAGTGAGCAGTTCAGAGGTTTTGCTAGGATGTATTTAAACTAGAAGGGGGGGGCAAAAGGGTGATAAAACATCAATCCAATTGTCCCCCAAAACAAGGACAGAAGGTGCCTGTAGCAAGTGTGTTAAAAAAGGATAAGCTTAGAGTCATGTCTACAAATGCTCGCAGTTTAGGGAATAAGATCCATGAACTTGTGGCAATGATGGCAACTAATAGTGTAGATTTAGTCGCTGTTACTGAGACATGGTACAATGAGAAAAATGACTGGGACATAGCAATACCAGGGTACTCTTTATATAGAAAAGACAGGGAAGGCAAGAAAGGGGGAGGAGTGGCCCTGTATGTGAAGGGTAGCATAAAATCTAGCCTAATAAAAGTTAGTGAGGCGAACATACAGTGCGTTTGGGTTACGTTAGAATTTGGTAATCACACAGTAACTCGTGTAAGTGTTATTTATAGGCCCCCAGGACAAATTGAAGAGTTAGATAATCTACTAGTTGAGGAAATAGCTAAAATGACAATGAAGGGGAAGTTATCATCATGGGTGACTTTAATCTTCCTGATGTAAATTGGAAAACAAAAATAGCTGCTTGTGCCAGGAGCACACATATTCTAAACTCCCTACTGGGATTGTCTCTAAAACAAGTCGTTGAGGAGCCAACTCGTAAAGAGGCCATACTAGATTTAGTGTTAACAAATGGAGATTTGGTATCAGATATTACTGTAGGTGAAAGTTTAGGATCCAGTGATCATCAGTCAGTGTGGTTTAATATAAGAACAGTGACTGAGTCACACCACACAAAAACAAAAGTTTGAGACTTTAGAAAAACAGACTTTTCTAAAATTAGAATATGGGTAGAGGAGTCATTATCAGACTGGAGCAATTTAAATGGAGTCCAAGAGAAATGGGATTATTTAAAAGTTGCACTATTGAAGGCAACAGAAAATTGCATTAGGCTTGTCAGTAAAAGCAAAAAATTCAAGAAACCACTGTGGTACTCCGCAGATGTGGCCAAAATAGTTAAAAACAAAAAGTTAGCATTTAGGAATTATAAAAAAACCCAGAGTGAGGAAGACAAAATGATCTATAAGATTAGGCAGAAAGAGGTTAAGCAAGTTATAAGAGCTTCCAAATCACACACAGAAGAGAAAATAGCACAGTCAGTAAAAAAGGGGGACAAAACTTTTTTAGATACATAAATGAGAAAAGAAAAGTAAAACAAGGATTAGTTAGATTAAAAACAAAAGAAGGAAGGTATGTAGAAGAGGATAAAGGTCTAGCGGACTGCCTCAATGAATATTTTTGTTCTGTATTTACAGATGAAAATGAAGGAAAGGATAAACGAGTCATTTATTATAAGTGAGTTTACAGAGGAAGAGGTTCTATTTCAACTGTCAAAAGTAAATACAAATAAGTCAATGGGACCTGATGGAATGCACCCAAAGCTATTAAAATAGCTTAGTGGTGTACTAGCAAAACCATTAACAGATTTATTTAACCAATCATTGTTAACAGCAGTAGTCCCAGAAGATTGGAAGTTAGCGAATGGTGTGCCCATTCACAAGAAAGGTAATAGGGAGGAGTCGGGGCAAATATATACCAGTAAGCCTTACTTCAGTAGTGGGGAAAGTGATGGAAACTATATTAAAGGATAGGATTGATGAACATCTAAAAACACATGGATTTCAAGATCAGAGACAACATGGGTTTACTTCAGGGAGATCATGCCAAACTAATCTTATTGATTTTTTTGATTGGGTAACTAAAATTATAGATCAGGGTGGTGCAGTAGACATTGCTTACCTAGATTTCAGTAAGGCTTTTGACACTGTTGCACATAGAAGGCTTATCAATAAACTTCAATCTTTAAGTTTGGAGTCCAATATTGTTGAATGGGTAAGGCAGTGGCTGAGTAACAGGCAGCAGAGGGTTGTAGTCAATAGAAGCTTGGACTTGTCACCAGTGGGGTACCTCAGGGATCTGTACATGGACCCAATTTCTTTAATATTTTTATTAGTGATATTGCAGAAGGTCTTGATGATAAGGTATGTCTTTTTGCTGATGATACTAAGATATGTAACAGGGTTGATGTTCCAGGAGGGATAAGCCAAATGGCAAATGATTTAGGTAAACTAGAAAAATTGTCAGAATTGTGGCAACTGACATTTAATGTGGATAAGTGCAAGATAATGCATCTTGGACGTAAAAACCCAAGGGCAGAGTACAGAATATTTGATAGAGTTCTAACCTCAACATATGAGGAAAGGGATTTAGGGGTGATTATTTCTGATTACTTAAAGGTAGGCAGACAATGTAATAGAGCAGCAGGAAATGCTAGCAGAATGCTTGGTTGTATAGGGAGAGGTATTAGCAGTAGAAAGAGGGAAGTGCTCATGCCATTGTACAGAACACGGGTGAGACCTCACTTGGAGTATTGTACACAGTACTGGAGACCGTATCTTCAGAAGGATATTGATACCTTAGAGAGGGTTCAGAGAAGGGTTACTAAACTGGTTCATGGATTGCGGGATAAAACTTACCAGGAAAGGTTAAAGGATCTTAACATGTATAGCTTGGAGGAAAGACGAGACAGGGGGGATATGATAGAAACATTTAAATATATAAAGGGAATCAACACAGTAAAGGAGGAGAATATATTTAAAAGAAGAAAAACTACCACAACAAGAGGACATAGTCTTAAATTAGAGGGACAAAGGTTTAAAAATAATATCAGGAAGTATTACTTTACTGAGAGGGTAGTGGATGCATGGAATAGCCTTCCAGCTGAAGTGGTAGAGGTTAACACAGTAAAGGAGTTTAAGCATGCGTGGGATAGGCATAAGGCTATCCTAACTATAAGATAAGACTAGGGACTAATGAAAGTATTTAGAAAATTGGGCAGACTAGATGGGCCTAATGGTTCTTATCTGCCGTCACATTCTATGTTTCTATGTGGAGCTCCTCAGAGGATCACTGGGAAACCGTAGGTGCGTCTGGATCTCTAGAGTTGGGGATGGCTGAGGGACTTTTGTGTTTCTCTTTATTTTTACTTGAGGCGGCTGTCCATTATAAAACAAAGGTTAGTAATATACTGCTCCCCATATGGGAGCGGGGTGCTGGGGAACTGTAAACTATGAGGTAGCATAGCAGGATCACATTGAATACATGGCTGTGCAGACAATTATGCTTTCATTGCGATCCCAGAGAATATCAGCATTTGCCACCCATGGGTAAAGAGGGGGGACATCGCATAGAAAGGCCAGGAAATGTCATAGCATATCCTCATCTCTTGGTCAGTTTAGGGGTCATCACGTTTTGGGCTCAAGTAACGTCCCTGTTCACAGGTTTGTGTTTTGATGTAAATCTGTTGCTACTCCACTAGGACGCACTAAAAAAAAATATACATGCACCATGCTTCTTGATAGGCTTTCAGCACTGGATACATGAATTTGTCTGAGACCACTTCAGCTCAATAATTACACTGCAGGACTAAGACTGTGCAGATAAACCTCTTTAGCAAGCAGCAGTGCTGTACTTGTACTGCTCCTTTGAAGGGACAGTATAGGCACTGGTCGGGGAGGTCTGGGTACAGTGTCCCTGTCCCCTTAATTCTGCAATGGCATTTATTGCAGTTTTTGATGAAATGCAATAATTACCTTCCAGGGGTAACTCCATCTCTAGTGGCTGTCTACCAGCCACTAACACCCCATTTGAAAGCATTGTAGAAAAGCTTTCCTATGATGAGGGCCTACAATGTTCACATTGCTCACTGTCAGGGCCGGACTGGCCCACCGGGATACCGGGAAATTTCCCAGTGGGCCGTCGGCCCCGGTCTCATTAAGCAGCGCGCTGGGGCGGGGGAGCAGAGACAGAACAGCCAGCTCCCCCTGCGGCCTCCAAAAGAGCTCCCTCTGCGGCTGCAAGAACAGCCAGCTCCCCCATGCGGTCGCCAGCACACAGGTAGAAATTATGTGTGTCAGTGTGAGTGTATGTGTGTGTGTGTGTGTGTGTGTGTGTCTCTGTCTGTGTCATGGTGTGTGTGTCTCTGTCTGTCATGGTGTGTGTGTCTGTCTGTGTCATGGTGTGTGTGTGTGTGTGTGTCTGTCTGTGTCATTGTATGTGTGTCTCTGTCTGTGTCATGGCGTGTGTCTCTGTCTGTCATGGTGTGTGTATCTGTCTGTGTCATGAAATGTGTGTCTGTGTCATTGTGTGTGTGTGTGTGTCTGTCATGTAATGTGTGTCTGTCTGTGTCACGGTGTGTGTGTGTTTGTCATGATGTGTGTGTCTGTCTGTGTCATGTAATGTGTGCCTGTCTGTGTCATGGTGTGTGTGTGTCTGTGTCACGGTCTGTCTGTGTCATGGTGTGTGTCTGTCATGGTATGTGTGTGTTTTTACTCACCTTTTTTCCCCCCCACGTGGTGCTGGTCTCCCCTCGACTGGCCCTGCCTCTATGGCTGAGATCATCAAGCTTGATGATCTCAGAAAATCCGCACTGACTCAGGAAGCACCTCTAGTGACCGTGTCTGTCACTAGGATGCAATGTAAACACTGCCTTTTGTCTAAAAAGTCAGCATGAAAAGCCAGCAGGGACAGGCTATAGACACCAGAACCACTACATTAAGCTGTGTGTGTGTGCGCGTCTGCTAGTGAGTGGGCTTGCTTGTGTGTGTGTGTGCCTGCCTGCTACTGAGTGAGCTTGTGTTTTTATGTCAATGGCCTTATGTATATCAGTTAGATTGTTTGTCTATGAGGCTGTGTATCAATCAGCTTGTGTCAGTGAGATTGTCTGTGTCTGCATGTGAGTATGCTTACTGTATAAATAAATATTTTACTCTGAAAGGACCAATATTTTATATTGGAAAAAGATATATATATATTTTTATATATATATATCTCAATCATCTAGGGTGGCAAGACATAGCCTTACATATTACATGCAACAATATATGGCGCAATGACTTATGGGGCTGGCATAGATTTTTTTTCCAGTGCTGCTTTGGAATCCCCAGTCTGGCCCTGCTCACTGTGCATGCACATCGGCCCCATTGGAGGAGGCGAAGCACCGACCTAGCACTGAGGGACATCAACGCTGGAATCAGTGACGGTACTGGCATCAAAAATGCAGTTACAGACCGCTTATGCCATCAATGAAAATCATGCCCCGTTTCTGCTACAATATAATCGCTACAGAAAGAACATCATACAACTGCAATGTAATGACACATGCAATGTGTCGCTTTACCCTGTGAGATGCAACATAAATCTTAACTCCTGCAGTCACAGAGAAACTGGAGTCAGGGCTTATATTCCGAGGCGTCATTGACTCTCTACTTCTCACATCTGTTAATCGAATCTGCCACACTACCTTCGGTCTTCTACAAAATAACACTTCTCCCAGAAAAATAATGCTGTGCTTCAACAGCAGCAGTTTGCCTGAGGGTACAATACAAGAGCCAGAGAAATTCTTCCATTTCATCCAAAACATGCTCAATTAAAGACTCAAACAGAATATACGACATATCTGAATTTCATACTCTCATAGGGATCATTGTGATGTGGGCTTAAATCAATGAGCTCAAGGGGGCCAAAGAAAGGTACCTAAAAAATTCATTAGATGTAAATGGCAATACATTTTATAAATACTGTCCTCTATTGTCTCTGGAAAATAAGATGATTGTCTTACCTGTATATAAAGGAGATTTTGATTCTAGATTTTGATCACTAGTTGCTACAATAGTCACATATGGATCTGTATCAGCGATGAATTCCACAATAGGCTCTGCAGAACCCGAAACATTATGTTCATGATAATCCACTATGTCTTCAGTTGACAAGGTAAATCCTATACCTTCAGTTGTACCGAAAAACGTTTCACTTTCTGGTTTGCTGACTAGTCCTGTCATAAATGTTGTGTTCACTTTACCCTCGGTACCCACATCTGTTATGTAAGTTGTTGTATCATGAGAAGATATCAGATCATTTTCAGTATTATCAGTCAAGGGAATCTGTGTTGTTATTTTTGTATCATCCCATTCTTCACTTACTGGGGAGGCCGTGATACTACTTCTTGTACTCTCTCCACTGATTAGTGTTGGCGTTTCCGAACCACCATAAACAGTGTAAGATGGGGAGTTTTCAACACCAGGCAAAGTCGCTAAAGTTATCTCAGAGCTGGTTTCCTCTTTCAAAGTGCTACCTAGGGTAGAGATCACCGATAGGTCAGCAAGATTCAATGCTGTAGTGGACAGGCCATCCTCTGTGTTGATACTACTGGTTCTTGGATTAGTAGTCAACATGTCCACAGTGTTAACCTGAGATGGATTTTCTAAATTGCTTTCTTGGGTCTTTGTGTTTTTTCCATCTTCTATCTGGGATGGGTTTGTAGTCTCCCCAAAGGATGAAGTTACTCTGCTCATATCAACTGCCGTAGAAGCCAATGTGGTTAGAATGCCATTTTCCATCAGCGCCTTTTCTTTCTCAGTAGAATTCGCCCCAAAGACAGAATTAGGACTAGTGATTGCTGACGTTTCTGTTCTCATGGTGACATTTCCAGTTGTGTTGTACTGGTTTGGCGATTCTCTTTCACCAGTAAGTAAGTTATTGGAGAACGTTCCATTTGAAGATGCACTGTTGCCAGCTGTAGACTGACTTGTTACGAGAGATGGTTCTGTATATAGTTTGGATCTGGAAGAATTATCGGTTCCTACGATACCAAATCCTCCGTTTGTTTCTGCCATATCCACGACATCTCGTTTGTGAAGAGAAAAGGATTTTACGCCTGGTGATCCTAATAGGATGCTACACAACATGACAATTCCCAGCAGTTCCATCATGTTAAATGTTAAGACAGCATAGGAACAGAGACAGACAAATCCCTAAAAACAAAATAAAAAAACAGTCATTTAAATGGCTCAGTAACATACATACATAGTTATGTTAACAGACAACATGAATATTATTACTGGATTGTGACCCTTCAGCTATGAAATCTTCGTATTTATCATTTTTATTTAAAAATATTTCTTCATTCATTTTTTTTCTCCAATAGTTGCATCACAGTCTTTATATTTTCTGGTCTGTATTTGTAAATATTTGTGTCCTCCAGGTAACTTTTAGTAGGGGATCGCTCTATTAGTTGCGTTGTGTGGTGGGGTTCCACTGAATACCTGGCTGTATGTGCTTGTTTTTAACTTTGCTTTCAATGAGACCCCGGAGATTATTAGCGACACGCTGGTCAAGGGCTAAGAGGGAGGGGGGAACGTAACATAGAAAGGAAGGGATGTGCCACATCATATTCGCACCTCTGTTAGTATAGGGCAGGGGTAGGCAACATTTGGCACTCCAGATGTTGTGGACTACATCCCCCATAATTCTCTTACAGCCACAATGCTGGCAAAGCATCATGGGAGGTGTAGTCCAAAACATCTGCAGTGCCGATGGTTGCCTATGCCTGGTACTATAGGGGATATTGGTACCTAGCAAAATCCTTGCTTGTATTCTTTCATTTTAGTTTTGTACTTTCCTAGGGATCCTCCATAGGGAGAAGGAATTGGCAACCTTTCCCAAAATACATCACTAGTAAGTGTTTTTTCCCTGTGGACCAGGAGAGTCCGGGGTGCTTCTAATTAGAGTAATCAACACCTGCTCTCTCTGACTAGCTTACTTAATGCTATCCGACACTGCTTAATATGCTCAGGTGTTCTGCTACCAAAACCCGAGAGTTCTTGGTCTGTATGTGTTCCAAGTCTCTGCATTTAGCCTTCTTTTATGTATATGCATCCTTTATCCTTTAGCCCTGCTCCTGACTACATGCTGGACCATACTTAGTTTCCTTTTACTTAAGAGTAGAAATGTTTAGGATTTCAGTACTCCCTTTATTGAGGGCACTTGTCTAGGGCGACATAAACATAAGGCGCCTTCCAACCACTGGGCTCCCAGTAAAAACAGCCTAAGAACCCAAACAGGATAAACAAATGATTCACTACTGCATGTCTGCATGCAGCACTGCCAACAAGGGTGTATGCGGATAGAGATCTATATGTGGGAATGCTGATAAAACACAATTCAGGTCTTGATGTGTTTGCTAAAGGCAAGGTATCCTGTGTTAATATATTCAGCTTTACCATAGTCCACATCCAAAGTTTGTTTAATGATCTGACCTGTCACGAAGTATTTCTGTATATGTGATTAAAATACAAATATAAAGATCTGAAAATCAGCCCGTGTATATATGAATGAGCATAAATGTAGACATGCAAATAGAATCTCATTTATCAAATCGTGTTAGCAGACACAGTGTTGGAATTCTGACAGAACGTTTTAGCCAACCTTCAGGTGTGTGTGGGGTGCTGTCCATGTATACATCACTTCAGAGACTGTTTGGATACATTCTGATTTCTGACTTTGTGATTGTGTATAATATAATAAACGTTATTTACCTAATAATTGGAATAGCTTCAGGGGGCTCCAAACACATAATATGGCAAAACAACCGAAAATCCATTTGGCCATCTAACAGGAAGATAGTCTGTAAAGTAAAGACTGCCTCTGGCTTAGGATAAGATTAGAACAGGTGTGCTCAAACGGCAGATTCCCAGATGTTTTAAAACTACGACTTACACAGCATTCCCTTTCTAAAGATTGTTCTACAACTCCTGGTCTACAACAGGTTATTCACATATAGAAAACTGGAAAAACTGGCATTTCTACTGGAAAAGTGGCATTAACATCGGAAATGGTGTTAACATCAGGACACTAGCGTTTAATTTGAACATTGGGATTTCCACTGGAAGACTGGTACTAACATCAGAACACTAGCACTTAATTTGAACATTGGGATTTCTACTGGAACACTGGTACTAACATCAGAACACTGGCATTTGATTTGAATATTGGGATATCCATTGCCCATGGATGTCTGCTTTTCTATTTGAACAGGAAGGGGAGTCCCAAATCAAATGTAATAAGACTTAGTCCTAAACTGTCACAAAAATGATCCATAATGGTTTAATCTTCCAATGTGTGCAATGCTTGGAACAGAGTAAGTGAGTGGCACTAAACCATCCCTTCACTTATGAAGATGTACACATTGCACAGGAGGCCCAGTAATCACATGTTTCTCCAGTAGGACACAAGCAGTATTCCAAATAGAATTCCTTTCTGGAATGCGCATATTGTGAGTTCTCAGGTACGTCCACATACATGTATACCCCACATGGAATGGACAAGGCGTGAACCCCATTCTTCTCTGAATATTGTATATGCTCCAACATCTGCAAGCTTCCTACTCTGCTCTCTCTTTGCATATGATATTATATATTAGTACATTATGTTTATATACATTGAATACATTTTTAGTGTTTAACAGTATTATCTGCAAAGGTTTTAAACTTAAGTCGTGAGGAATTTAATTACAAGCTTAATGTCTTAGGAGCCTGTGAGCTAGACACTCTTTCCACTCATGTATTTTCTTTTCTGTTATAAATCATGTTCCATGTCTGACAGCCAATAAGACAAAGTGACCAAAGGGGTCGGTGGTTAGAATTCCTGCTACAATATATCAGAGTTACAGATAAATTTGTTTGGATTAGCTGCAGGTTTAGCATCACTAATGCTACCATAAAACTATGCACCTCTGCTCGATGAATACAGAAATCAGATAGATCAGCCCAACTTATTCATACTGTTGTCAGAAGACGAGACCAGAACCATATTCTGCCCAACTTCTACAGATGTGACAAAGGGACCCTGGAGGTTAGCCTATCGATACTTGCCTCGGGTATCATCGGGTGCCCTTTCATAAGCACGCGTTTGGTCTGTTCACAAGTTACTTTAAACTCGAGTTGTGTGAAGATTCCCATTTCTGTTACCTTGACCTCTGCCTCTTCATGATAGACATGGGCAAAAAAATTGAGAGAAAAATTGAGAGATTCATCCCAATAAAATTCTTGGCAATCATCGAATGAATAGATTCAGAAAATTCTGTTCTTTCACAAACTTATCAAATCAGAAACATATGAACCAAATCAGGATCATCACAATTAAAATCTTTTTTTTAAAGCACAAACTAACCACATTTTTGGAATTGCTTTGTTTGACGATTGCCAGGAATATTATTTGGACAAATTGTTTAAAACACATTTCTGCGCATGCCTTGTTGGTGTCGTCTTTGTTTTTGCGGCTTGGTGATCATTTGACTACTTTCATCATTTGTACCACTTTCTGGAATTTGACATCAGCTAGTTCTATTTACATTCTTCATCCCTGGACATGTTCTTTTCTTTGAGATACTGCTTAGCTGGAATATTCTTGTTCCACTCTGTCAGCTCTAAATAGCAGCAATACAGCATTCTCTCCTTTAGCCTATACACAGACTAAGAGTCCACAGCCTTAGAAACAAATGAATGGCAAGGTCTACACAACTTTGCATCCTTGTATGGGTTTTTTAATATTTATCAGGGTCATAGAAAAAAAATACTGAAGGCACTATAACCACTTCATCTCACTAAAGTGAGTATAGTGCATAAAGTCCCCTGTTGTTGTCATGCCAATCCACAACCTGAACTCTCTGCTGCTCAGTCTAATGCTTCCATGTCACCCTGAGCAACGATGGGTCGTAGTAATTATCTGAGAGCCTCAATTACCCCTTCTCTGACTATCACAGCCCCCTTTGCGGTTTTCAATTGGCATGGCTAAGGTAGCATCAAACCCTGGCCTCCACCATATATCCAGTGTGTAAACTGGCAGAAAATGTAGCCTGCTGATCTATTTTCATATTTTTGGGGCAAGTTCATGTTGAAAGTTACCGTGACATGAATATTATGATAAAGTGGGCACCTCTCCCACCCAAAAATAAGTAAACAAATAAACTAACATAAAATAACACTTTTTTATATGTTCCTCGAGATGCATTGAGGACTGGAAAACCTTACAAGCACCCTTAAAATTAAAAGTAAAATTTGAAGGATCACTATAGGGTCAGGAACACAAACATGTATTCTTGACCCTATAGTGTTAAAACCACCATCTAGTCCCCCTGGGCCTCTCATGCCTCCATAAATATAGCACAATCTTACTGTATTCAAGCCAGAAGCTGTAACTCTGCATGCTGTTTGCCTCAGAAAAACAAGCAGTCTGCTGACATCATCAGAAGTGGTAGCCTGATCCAATCACAATGATTCCCCATAGGATTGGCTGAGACTGACAAAGAGGCAGATCAGGGGCAGAGCCAGCATGATTCAAACACAGCCCTGGCCAATCAGCATCTCCTCATAGAGATGAATTGAATCAATGAATGTCTATGAGGAAAGTTCAGTGTCTGCATGCAGAGGGAGGAGATACTGAATGTTTGGATGCATTTTAGGAAGCCATGACCTAGGAAGGATCTCTAACAGCCATCTGAGGAGTGGCCAGTGAAGTTATCACTAGGCTGCAATGTAAACACTGCATTTTCTCTGAAAAGACCGTGCTTACAGCAAAAAGCCTGAAGGGAATGATTCTACTCACCAGAACAAATTCAATAAGCTGTAGTTGTTCTGGTGACTATAGTGTCCCTTTAAGTTAAGCAATGAGAGTAATAAATAACAACATGCAGCACAATTTGCTTTATGTTGTATCCCTTAACTGATCAGTATCAATCCAATGGTTATTTGAAATATCTGTCATTATTTTACAATATAAAAACACCCGGTCACAGCTCTGTTACGGACTGGACTGGCAGTGAAATGGTTCATTGTGAACGTAATGTAGCATATTAGTCATAACTGCCACACTCCCCAAAGACAGATCGAAAGCTTGGAAATCCCGGGAGATCTCATCAATACGAACCAAAACAAGTTTATTCTCATTTTGTCTATTTTAACAATCTGTATGTAAAAAAAATGTAAGAGGAGTGAGGTATTAGGCAAGCGATTCGCTGATTGGTCATAGTACCGTAAATGGCCACTATAAATCGTATTATGGCCACCAGATTCCTGGATATTCTTAATAAGGCTTAACTATATATTGATGATGGTTTAATACAATATATTTCCCCCACACAAAGAGCACTAAAATGATTCGCATGCAAAAACAACAAGAACAACAACAAAATAAAAACAAAAATTAGATGTGAATTTATTTTTTTGAAATGCCTTTTTTTGGTCATTTGCCATACAATGCGCAGTCTGTGTAACCTTTCAACGACTACAATATCAGTAATTAGGCAGCATGGAGTCCGAGGTAAATCTGAGATGCCACATTTTCATTGTTGCCATGGAGACAATATCATCCCACTGATGAAGGATGACCCAAAACCCATTGCTGTGATGCACTCTGAGTGACTGGCACACAGTGGCACTGCAGTGCGAAGCAACCAGGAAAGGCATCAAGTATAGAACTGCATTGCAGTGAATGCTAAGAAAGTTAACCTGTCAGCTGCTACAACAAGGCTGGGGCATTCTGCAAGAAAAACAACAAAATAACAATATGACGATCTCACTACAAATCCTGCACTTCAAAGAAGATGTGTTAAGACCTTAGAGTGTGTGATTGTGATATAATAGTATATGCATTGATAAATTCCAAATATACACGATCAGCCACAACAACCACTGACAGATGAAGTGAATAACACTGATAATACGTTACAACAGCACCTGTCAAGGGGAGTAAATGAACAGGCAGTTATTGCATTTCATGAGTTGGAAGCAGGAAGAACGGGTAAGCAAAGAGAGACTTTGACAAGGGCCAAATAGTGATGGCTAGACGACTGGGTCAAGCATCCCAAAAATGGCAAATCTTGTGGGATGTTCCTGGAATGCAATGAACAGTACCTACCAAAATGGTGCAAAGAATGACAACCAGTGAACCTGTCTGGTACGATCACACAGGAGAGCTACGGTAACTCAAATTGCTAAAATAAAAAAACTTAATGCTGACCATGATAGAGAGGTGTCAGAACACAAAGTACATCGCAGTTTGCTGTGTACGGGGCTGCGTAGCCGCACACTGCTCAGAGTGCCCATGATGACCCCTGTCCACCACCGAAAGGGCCTTCAATGGGGACATGAGCATCATAACTGCACTATTGAGCAATGGAAGAAGATTGCCTGGTCAACTGAATCATGCTTGGTGTACGTAATTTACCTGAAGAAGAGTAGACGGCAGGCTGGCAGAGGCAGTGTTATGCTCTGGGCAATGTTCTGCTGGACAAACTTTGGGTCCCGGCATTCTTGTGGGTATTAATTTGACATGTACCACCTAACTAGAGATTGTTGCAGTACACATACACCTCTTCATGACAATGGTTTTCCCTGATGGCAAGGGCCTCTTTCAGCAGGATAATGGCTGCTACCACACTGCAAACATTGTCTAGGAATGGTTTGAGGAACATGACTTGAGGAACAGGAACTACATTGGCTTCCTATAAGATATAGAGCTCAATTTAAAATTCTGGTCCTTGCTTTCAAATCTCTACATAATGCTGCTCCCACCTATCTATCCTTCCTTATACACAAGTATGTCCCGTCTGGGCCCTTACGATCTGCTGAAGACTTACGTCTATCTTCTGTCCGTACTCCCAACTCTGATGCTCGCCTTCAAGAGATCTCGAGGGCTGCACCGTTCCTGTGGAATTCACTTCCCTCCTCCGTTGGATGCTCACCCAATCTCCACTCCTTCAAAAAATCGTTAAAAAGCCACTTCTTCATAAAAGCGTATCAATTAAACTGTTAATAGCTCCTGACTGATTCCTCTTCTGCAACTGTCATTAGTCTAATACTATCCTTACCTTTTTGTGTCATTTTACCCCACTCCCTCTAGCATGTAAGCTCATTGAGCAGGGCCCTCAACCCTCTGTTCCTGTGTGTCCAACTTGTCTGGTTACAACTACATGTCTGTTCGTCCACCCACTGTAAAGCGCTGCGGAATTTGATGGCGCTATATAAATAACATAATAATAATGACAAAAAAGATCAAGGTAATAATTCCATTAAATTGCGAGGCACTTCCTACGAGGGCAGGGGTTCTCAACCCAGTCCTCGGGACCCCCTACCAGTCCAGGATTTGGGGATTACCTGGGTGTGTCTAAGGTGTTTAGAAAAAGGGGGGGAAAAAACACCTTAGACACACCCAGGTAATCCCTAAACCCTGGACTGGTAGGGGGTCCTGAGGACTAACGGTGAGAACCCCTGTACTAGAGTGATCAATAAAGACCAAAAGTGAAAATCAGCACCAAACACTACACATTACCATGTGCATTTAAATCAGATAACAGAAAAAGAAAAGTTTTGCAGTAAGTCCAATACACTTGTGAAAATAATAAAAATAATTTATTCTTATATCCGAGGATTCCCCAATTCAGTACACCCTATAAAATAAACAAAATAAACATGGTGCATACTGTATGCAAAAAAAAAAAAAAAAACAAGAGGGTAAATGTTGCTTGTAGGGAGACTGGACTTGGATATGATAATCTCACACCCTTAAAGGAAGGCAATCCTATGCCATTTGGAGTTGCAGAAAAGACGTGGACCAATTAGAACACATGTGAACCTATTTAAAGCCTGTTCATGCACTTACTCATTGCCTTATCGTGGGTTATGTTTAGTAACACGTTTAGTGCTTCAACAAGTGTCTTGTGGTTTCCTGTTTTTGACCTTGGCTCCGTTTTGACTCTGTGAATGTCTGGTATCCTGACCCGGTTTGTATATTGAACTGTGTATTTCTGGTATCCTGACCCAGCTTGTATATTGACCTGTGTATTTCTGGTACCCTGACCCGGCTTGTATATTGACCTGTGTATTTCTATTATCCTGACCTGGCTTGTATATTGACCTGTGTATTTCTATTATCCTGACCTGTGTATTTCTGGTACCCTGACCCGTCTTGTATATTGACATGTATTTCTTGTACCCTGACCCGGCTTGTATATTGACATGTGTATTTCTGGTATCCTGACCCGGCTTGTATATTGACCTGTGTATTCTGGTATCCTGCCCTTACTTGTTTTTCGTGTATCCGTATCCCGGCTACTCCTGACTTTAATTCTACCTTGTAATACATTAAGTCCGGCCACTCTAAGGCCCGGTAATACGGCTTTTGGATCCTCTTTCCTGAGTGTAAGGGCAACGGCAAACGTAACAATACTGAGAAGATACAAGTTGAAACTTGCCTAGGGTCCCATGGACACTAGAGATTGCTAAACTTTCTCTAGATTCCAGCCTGCCTGCTGTGAAATTCATTATGTTTTGTATGTTTTTAGCCCTCCCCTAAACCACCCAGTCAATTCAAGAGCTAAAACAGGTTACAAGGGCTTAAATATGTGAATAGTTTAACCATTACCTCCTCTAAACAAGGTACATGCAGGACAAGAACTGCAAATGTGTTAAAATAAAGCAAAACACACAAAAAGCAAAGACATGCAAAGCATCAATGGTAATATGTAAAATGGATACGAAACAAAAAGCCAAAATACATAACAGAGACCAATGAACAGAAAAAAGAGATTTGCGAGAAGAGGAAATTACAAAATTACAAAATTAGGATCCCCCACTACCACCCTCACCCCCCCCCCAAATGTTTCAACTGAAAGCCTTTGTCAATGAACAATGAAGGATCAAATGTAATGGGCCAACTGGTAAACTGTGCCAGGGGCCAAATGTAAATATAGGGGCAGTGAGAGAGCAGCGCTGGGTGCAGTATACTTGTAGCATCCACCCTGACCTGTTAGACTACAATTTCCACCGGTACAGCCATTACGAGCTTGATGTCTTTTAGAGAGTTTCAGGTTTTTTATTAAGTGGAGTAATCACCAATGAACAATGAAGGATAAAATGTAATGGGCCACCTAGTAAACTGTACCAGGGGCCCTGGTCTAACAAACATTTCTCCTATTAAAAATCAGCATTCAACTGAATGAATATGGCGACACAATAAATTCAATAATTTGCTTAATGTAACTGCAGAACCCAGGCAAATGTTCTTGGTCATGAAGACTGAAGAGCAATATTTCAGTTCTGCTTCCCACTAGCTGAAATCCTAGCAGATAAACAGAATAGATTTGAAATGACTCACATTTCCAGCTTATATCTGTTTGCCATTAAACCACGGCCATGCTGTGAGTGCTTTTCATAATGTAAATATGAAAGAAATATATACCGGAAATCTCTGTCATTGTCCAAGAAAAAGGTCAAAAGAATAACTATTACTACTAATGGACCTTCTGGGTAATTTCACACGTTCTATCGTAGCATCCTATGTGAGAGTCTTTAGATCAGCCACAATAATATATAGTAACTTCATTCATTAAAAAAAAACACGAATGAAGAAAAGCATTCTACTTATTATACATGGAGCTGTGCCAAGCTGAGAGCAGGTTTGTAAAATCCCATTGACGACATAAACACTGTTTAGTAAATAGAATTCCATATTTTTTTAACACGCAAAAGTGAATCAAAGTATGAATTGTTTTGTTATTTCCATACGTTCTAAGCAATTCAACATAAAATTTGATGACAGCCTGAATTTCACAGGCAGGTCAGCCAAAAAAAAAAACACATTATCATGATCATCACACACATTAGGTCCACAATGCTTCTCTATGGGGGACATTGGATTGGAGCACAGCGGAGGAGGCCAGGGGAGGGGAGGGGAGGGGAGGATCGCCAAGGCAAACTCCACATTGGAAAAAAAAGTTAAAAACGTTTTATTAATTTTATGGGACACACAGGGGGGTTGAACCTATATAACTAGGGACAGGGAAACTAAAGTGTTAGGAATACAAACATTTACCCCCTACACCCAGCAGGGAGAGATGGGCCTATCATTCCTGGTTAATAAAATACCCAATGGTTAAATCACAGAACATTCCTCACACCTCTGGAAACAAATGGGTTAAAAAGCGAGCACTTGGCGCACCGTGATTTGCTGTCATAAGAGCATTAGTGAAATATGTACGGTATTAACTGAAATTCTTTTGCCTGACGCCTGATTCTGGCTTCCAGCAAAACAAAGTCACAACAAATGCCAGAACAGTTCTTAGTGTGCCCACGCCCCTTACTTTGTATGCTGGAAATGTATCTCGGTTCGCAGACACGGATCTGACCGCCTACATTTGATCCAGCATTTTGTATGTACGGCTCGCACTCCATGAGTTAATGCCTTGAAATGATTGAGAGACACTTGTGTCCTGGACCTGCATCCGCCATTGACTTTGAACGGTATCACAGATTCAAGTGGCACTGCATTCAGAAATTTCCCAGCTGATACAGATAATTTGTTACTTTGTAAAACATTAGGCGACAAGGACAAGGACATTAATTATATGATGACAGCCGTTATAATATCTGATTTTACTTTGGGGGAAAAAGCAAGTCCATTAAATAAAAAGTGACAGAGTGTAATACCCGTGGAGGGAGCCACTTTCACGGTCTACAAGATTATGTCACCCTGTGATGTCATTGCAAGTCCAGCAAGAGGTTCTTAAAGTAGCTTAGCAGGAATATCGGTTATCTTTGGTCTACAGAAGTATGGATCACAAGGACAAGTAATACCAGAGGTCCTTGTTCCCATGTTAATTTAGTGGGTTACCATTGGTTCACGCAGGCACGTACTATTTATCTGACCCAGTGTGGTGGAAACCCCACTTGACTTTGCTAAGAGTGTAATAAATGGATTTTCGATGAATTTATTTTAGCAAACAATATATTGCATTATAACAGAATCATAGGTCATTTAACTATTTCTACAATGGAGGAATCAGTTACTATATTAATGCCTTGTACATAGAAACCTGTCCCAAAAATGGGTTAGAAGTCCAGGACCGAATATTAAATAGTTGTTTGATGAAAACTGGATTGCGTATTCTTGGCAAAGCCCACTTCAGCTCATTGAAGTGGGCTGGGTGCAATGTCTCTGTTAAACTGCAAGTAATTACTGCAAGTTAGCTTGTAGTGTAGGACCCACCGATATTGGGGTATTGTGACATAGTGGTGGGCCTAACACAATATGGTCATATAATGAAAAAATAATAATAATTTGCAATTTTTATAGCACTTTTTCTCCCTGTGAGACTCAAAGCACTTTACGAGTATACAAAAATAAAGACATAAAAGTTAGGAGTTTCTGAAGGTCTGCTGAGCGGACTGAATGCCTGATGGAAGAGGTGGGCCTTTATGTTTTTTTTAAAAGTCTGTAAGGACGGTGCCTCTCTGATTGCGTATGGTAAAGAGTTCCAGAATGTACGGGCAGTGTGGCTTAATTCCCTGGAACCTGCGTCTGTCTTTATTCTTGGCAGTGACAGGAAGGATTAGGAACCGAATCCCCATATTTAATTGCTAAGGTAGGTGATTTGTTTGTGTGTGCGCTGTGCAGTCACTAGGGGCACTTCCTGCTTGTTAGACAACTTTTGTATGCCTAACGGACGCTCTGCATGAGGACGTACAGCGTCAAGCAAAACCTCATAGAAAAGCATTAGTGCATCGGCACTAGTTTTGGTAAATACAGAAAGGGTATTCTAATTTCTAACCCTTACTCTGCCAGGGAGGGGCAAAGCAAAAAGTAGGGGGTGGGCAGAGGGAGCTATAGTGCTAAGAATACAGCTTTATCTCTTTAAAGGGTTATTCTAACATTTTATTTTTTTAAACTTTAGAATGCACTACTGGCATTATTCATTAGGTGTACCTTTAATAACTGGCCATGGAGCTCTAAACTTATCTGGAACCCAGTGCAGAGCAAAGCTCCATTCTTTGGATTCCACACCCCATCACTCCAGCCATAAATGAGACCCTACCTCTGTCCAATTAAATGCTTTTCACAGAGAAGCATTCGATTGGACCACTTCACTGGTTTAGAGTGCATGCATGTGCTTTGAGATGGGTAGGGGAGAGTGGTAGGGAGTGGGGGACAGAGGCAGTGGCATCTCTAGGATTCATTTTTAGGGGGGGCACATGGTGGGCCAGAGACAAATGTAGGGGGGCACATTTAACCCCGTCCTCACCGCAGTTTAACCCAGCCCCTGCCACATGTTAAGCCCCACCCCCGACACAATGTTTTTTTTGTTTTTTTTTAAATAATCCCAGGTGGAGAATTCATAATTTTCCAACAGGGATTATTAAAAAAACAAACACATTTCACTTGATACAGTGCCATAGTTGCCATCATTTGAAAAAAAAATTCCAAGGACATTTTGCAGCACACCTATCAACTACTGTCTGTGTATAATATCCCTGGACAGTCAGTGCTCTCTCTGTATAATACATGGCTGTGCGTATAATATCCCGGGACAGTCAGTGCTCCCTGTATAGTGCTGCTCTCTGTATAATACATGGCTGTGCGTATAATATCCCGGGACAGTCAGTGCTCCCTGTATAGTGCTGCTCTCTGTATAATACAGGTCTGTTTATGTATAATATCCCAAGACAGAGAGCATCACTATACAGGTAACACTGACTGTCCCAGGATATTATACAGAGAACAGCACTATAGCATTATACAGATAGCTGAGCATATACCCCATGTCCCAATCTCTAGACTACTAGTACCTCTCAACAGCAGCTCCCAGACACGTGTAACAGGGCTAAAGTGTGCGGCAGCTCACACCGATGATTCAGCGATAAAGCGCACTCGCTGGCAGAGCCAAACTGGGAATCCAAAGCAGCCCTGGAAACAAATGTATGCCATTTCTACAAATATATACATACATACATATATACATACATATAGATATAGATATAGATATATATATATTTTTATATATTACAGTAAGCACACAAGCTCACTGACATGCACAAATAGGCTCACTGACAGACAAAACTCTCTGAGACACACACAAGCTTACTACAGACAGATTCACTTGTATAAACAGAAGGCTCACTACAAAGAAGTTCAGGGACACACACAAGCTCACTAAAGACAAGCTCACTGACACACACATGCTCACTAAATAGAAGCTCACTGACACACAAAATCAGTACCATCTTAACAGCGTTAAGGGCCCCCAGGCAAAGCAGTGTACTGGGGCCCTTCCTACACAAAAACTCACAGGAATACAAATTTTAATTATCGATAGACTGCTGAGTACATACACACAGTACCCTGAATACGAACACCAAGAGACTGAATACACACACACAGATTTCTGAATGCACACAGGCGTTGCTGAATGCACACAGGCTGATTTATACACATACACACAGACTGCTAAGTTCATACACACACAAACAGACACACAGACTGCTGAGTCCATATACACACACACACACAAACACACACAGACTGCTGAGTCCACACACACACACACACTGCTGAGTCCATACACACAGACTGCTGAGTCCATACACACACACACACACACCATACACACACACACACACACAGAGAGAGACTGCTGAGTCCATACACACACACACATACACCATACACCCACAGACAGCTAAGTCCTTACACACACCCACAGACAGCTGAGTCCATACACACACCCACAGACAGCTGAGTCCATACACACACCCACAGACTGCTGAGTCCATAAATACACACAGACACACACAGACTGCTGAGTCCATACACACACACAGACACACACAGACTGCTGAGTCCATACACACACACAGACACACACAGACTGCTGAGTCCATACACACACAGACTGCTGAGTCCATATACACACACACACAGACTGCTGAGTCCATACACACAGACTGCTGAGTCCATACACACACAGACTGCTGAGTCCATATACACACACACACAGACTGCTGAGTCCATACACACAGACTGCTGAGTACATATACACACACACACAGAGACTGCTAAGACTATACACACACACAGAGACTGCTAAGACTATTGCAAGTAATTACTGCACGTTAGCTTGTAGTGTAGGACCCACCGATATTGGGGTATTGTGACATAGTGGTGGGCCTAACACAATATGGTCATATAATGAAAAAATAATAATAATTTGCCATTTTTATAGCACTTTTTCTCCCTGTGAGACTCAAAGCACTTTACGAGTATACAAAAATAAAGACATAAAAGTTAGGAGTTTCTGAAGGTCTGCTGAGCGGACTGAATGCCTGATGGAAGAGGTGGGCCTTTATGTTTTTTTTTAAAAGTCTGTAAGGACGGTGCCTCTCTGATTGCGTATGGTAAAGAGTTCCAGAATGTACGGGCAGTGTGGCTTAATTCCCTGGAACCTGCGTCTGTCTTTATTCTTGGCAGTGACACACACACAGACTGCTGAGTCCATACACACAGACTGCTGAGTCCATACACACAGACACAGACTGCTGAGTCCATACACACACACAGACACAGACTGCTGAGTCCATACACACACACAGGCACAGACTGCTGAGTCCATACACACACCCACAGACTGCTGAGACCATACACACACACACAAGCTTCCTCACTAGCAGAGACACACACACCAAGCCTACCTGTCACTGGAGGCTGTTTTTTGCGGTCAGACAGCCATCTTCTGGCCTTTCCAACAGCAGCATGGTCTGCTGCTTAACGGCGTGGGCGGGGCTTATGTGCAGGAGGCGGGACTTCGTTTGGGGGCGATGTCTGTGTCTGGAAGCCTGTCAGTGCTCCCTCCGGCCACAGACCACACCCAGCACCGTTCCAGCCCCTCTGCCCTGCATTCCCTCTGGCTGTGACACACTGTTACAGTCTGAGTGAATAGAGTTTAAACACATGGACAGCAAGTTGCCGGCATTTGGGGGGCCCAAGGGTGGACACAGCATGATGTAGGGGGGGCCATGCCCTCCGTCTGCCCCCCCTAGCGACGCCACTGGACAGAGGGAGGGGAATTTAAGAAAAAATTAAGAGCTGTCACTTGAAGGAGGTGGGGAATGAACGCAGAGAGAAAGTGGGAGAGGAAGGGGACACTGAAGTTTCCCCTTGCAGGTGCGCTACAGAGTGAACTGTGCGCGTTAATGACAGATGTAATTTTTGCACAGAATTTACATTAGGCGACCCAGAGTTGTCTGAGTCACGTGTGTTGCTCCGGGCACAAAAATGCAGATTACAAGCACCATGGCCATTTCTAAAAGCTGTAGATGTCATGTGGTTGAAGTAACCCTTTAATTCAGAATTGTAAAATCAATGTGAAAATAGCCAAGCATTAATTATAGCTGAATTGAAGAATTTAACTTTAACTTTACAATTCAGATTTAATTCAGTAAAAGTCGGAGTTTGGAGAATAACCCTGTATGAGACAAGATTAGAAAGGACAAAATCAGAAACAGATATAGAAACTAGGGGCCGCTTCATTTCTTTTACAAAGAAGACTTAATTAACTCCAATGACCCTAAAGCAAAAAGCTGAAATAGAATCAGAAATTATATCAAAGTGTACTTTAATGTCTATTCTAATCCTGGGGCTTTGAAGAATTCACTGCAATGGACAGGGCTAATTTAAAGCATTGGTGAACTCTATGGAAGATCATGTAAAGAAAAAAAGAAAAAAAAAAGACACCTCTCCTTAAATTCTAGCTATAGTCAAATATTGTATTTTTATTATAATTTATTCTATTTCACCAACAAATTTTGCATCAATGGATACATGGAGTAACGGAAATAGCAAAACCTAGTTTGACAGATAAAGAGAAAGAAAAGCAGTAGATTTTGAGAGTAAAAAAATAAACAAAGTACTCACAAAAATAATAAAAATCATACTCTATTGAAATGTTGTCCTTGTGCTGACATAGCTCTCATCCATTCTTCTAGAATCAAGTCTCAGACTTCTCTTTTTATGGTATTGGTATACCTGTCTAAACCTAGTTTAGTGGCTCAGTGTCAGATGTCCCATCTTGGCGTCATTTCTGATGAAGGATAGATCACACCTGGTGAGATTTATTCTGGATCTGCTTTGCTCTATCTTTTTCTCCTACGTTGTCTGGGCACTTCAGCACCAATGGAATAACCGGATAATTCACCTGAATTATTAAAACGTAGGTCATGCCAGAATCATTGTCCTTTTCTGAGTCTAGCAGCCCCCGGCTGTCTTTCGATTGTCTTGGATTTGACTAGCCTGTTCTCTAGCAGCTACAACCTGTGATTTTGCATAAGGGGTGGTGGAGGAGCATGATATTGACTTTGGTTATGATACCTAAAAAGAGCCTGTCTGGCTTGCATGAATGCACTTGGGTAGCCCCAACTTAAGAGTGCTGTTGAAGAGCTCAGGTATTGGCTGAATTCCCTGGGTTTGCATTGTGTGAGCATGTCTAATGATGTACCATGCCTTTTGGGTATATGTACCCTACAAGTGGTACACCAGGGAATGAACCTTGACAAGAGCAAAAATATAACCTGCCTTATTGAATGTTGGATGGGTGGAGGTATGAGGAGATATTTTGTGAAGTCCAGTTATTTTATGGAACAATTTCCACTTTTCTGTCCCTTTCTCACTGTCCTAGATTCTAGTTTCATCTTGGTAATTATATCCTAACAGAGATTAGATGACTTCCAAGATGACTGTTCAAAAGTATAGCACAGACAGCATCAAACACGTTACATGTTGTGCCTCCTCCTGTTTTATAAATATATACAAGTCTTGAAAGAGGAGAGATGTGGTTCAGGCCAGAACCAGACGTGGCACTTCTTTTTGAAAGACTGATGACAGCATTGCATGTAATCTTTAAATCATAGGGTCAAATGGAAATCTGCCTCCCCCAGATTTGATATCTCTCTGCGAGCATGTACATATTCCTTCTACAATAACATTAAATAGTGTCACGATTACTTACCTTTCTTCCAGGCACACATGTGGGGAGCTGACTGCCGAACGCTTCTCTCTCTAGCCATTCGGCAATTCCAATGCCGAATGCTTTGGCTCTGCCTCTTTTTATGGTGAGACTAAAGTTACAGTGCTTATACTATAAATAGAGCACTTTGTGCTTTATTGCGTGTTCTCTTGTGGTTCCTTATTGGTCCCTATAGTGCATTCTGAATTCGTAATGTTTATATTGGTTTCTGACTGTTATCATTGACTCTGCTATTGACTCACGTTCTCCTGTCCTCTGGTTCCCTTGATTTTTGCCTCTCAGCCACGTTAAGCCCGGCCACTCTAAGGTCTGGTAATATATTCTATTTTAATCAGATAGGGTTGCACATTGCATGCTGGGGGTTATACCGTGACAAATGGACTCTAATGTTGCCAATATTCGGGGTATTTCTCAGGATATTTGTAATACAATGGATGAGCCTTCAATTGAGCAGGACAGACTACATAACAAAACACCATCTCTCTACAATAATTTTATATATTGATAAACTAATATCATCCACAAAGCAAATCAAAGGGCGTCCAAAGGAAAGATGGATGAGCACATAGTTTAAGATTTATTCCACATGGGTGTATTTGGTAAACTGTGAAAATGGTTGAATTGAATCCCAAATTACAAAATTCTGGCCAAAAGAACCAAAGTAGAAAAATAACTACTTTTTTCCCCCAATTCAATTCTTTTTTTGCCAAATTATTGCAGCTTGATTGTCAACTCCCCACAATTTCCCCAATGAAGGAAACCATGAGGTTGAAAAGTGCATTAACTGGTGGCTAAA